TTTTTTTTTTTTTTTTTAGGTTGAATAAAATGGCTTAATGTATACTCCCTATATATTGATCTTTTGTATTGGTTTCTTGAGGCTGCTATATAACAAATTACCACAAACGTGGTGGTTTAAAATGACAAAAATGTATTCTCTCACAATACTGGAAGCTTAAGTCCAAAATGAAGGTGTTGGCAGGGTTGGTTCCTTCTGGAGGCTCTGAGGAAGGATCTGTTCCATGGCTCTCTTCAGTTTCTGGTGGCTCCCACAATCCTTGGCATCCCTTGGCTTGTAGTTGCATTACTTCAATCTATGCCTCCATCTTCACAGTGCCTGCTCTTCTGTATGTCTGTGTCTCCTCTTCCTTCTCTCTCTTATAAGGATGCTTACGATGACATTTAGGGCCCATCTGGATAATCCCAGATAATCTCCTTATTTCAAGATCCTTACCTTAGTCAAATCTGTTACCACAGAGGGTAATACTCACTTCTTCCAGGGATTAGGAAGTGATCAGGCTTTTCTTCAGAATGTTCAAGAATTATGGTCCTTGCCCTTGGTTTCTCCATTAATTTGCAGTTCTGAAGCTTAAGCCTCTTTAAAAAGCTTCCCTTGCCAAAAAGAAACTTGAAAAAAAGGTCAAATACAAGAGCTAAATAAATTGTCCTGCAAAGCATTTCTGCCAAGAGTATCTCAACTTGGTTCTAACAAAGCATAGACTCCCACTAAGAGGAACCAGCCCCCTTTCTGATTAGCCACAAATTTTTATGAATGACCTGTCACCATTACAGGCACATTGTTGTGACTGAGTAATATACTCCCTCAACACAATTTCCCAGAGCATTCTCTAATTGTTTCTCTTGCTTACATGTTCCCAAAGCCTGGGCAGAAGAGTCAAGCCATTCCTTGCCAGGTGTTTGCCTCTCTCGTTAGCTAGTACCACATCACAGGGTGCAAGGGGAATATCTAAGGTCCCTCACTGTCATTTTCCCCATATGTCTGTGTGACCCATTCCCTCTCCTTCAAGGCTTTTCTTGAATATCTCCTCAGCAAGGCCTTCTCTGACCACCTCTTTAAGATTATAACACACACACCCTTATACTGCCTCAGTCCTGCCCTCTTTCAACCTTTCTTTTTCTCCACAGAATGGTGCCACCTTCTAACATTCTGTATATTTGCTGAGATGTTTTGTTTATTATCTGTCTCTCCCATTAGAATGTTAGCTTTTTGAAGGCCGATTTTTATCTGTTATGTTCACTGCTGCATCCCCAGCACCTAGATGGGTACTTGGCACATAGTAGGCCTTCATTAAATACTTGCTGGATAAGGAGCTTGGTGACTGAGATCTAGGTCTGGTCTACATGGTGTTCTGTACCAGTTATACCCTTTCTAGGTTGGAGATTGTTGTATATGGCACCAGAACACATACCATATACCTCTCATTCTAATTAGTTCTACAAGTGGTAGACAGGTAACCCCAAAATCTTGTTTGAATCAGTGTTTTTACCTTTCACTCCCAGCTCTTTATCTAAAGCTACTGGAATTCGCCAAAGAAAGACATTACAAGAAAAGAAACCTAAGACAATATCCCTCATAAATACAGACACAGAAATACTTGATAAAACATTAGCAAATTGAATCCAGCCAAGGAGAATACTTCATGATGAGGTGGGGTGGATCTGGCTGAATTAAGAGTTCACTGTAGCTAACCATAGTCAAGTCACAGCTCTCTCACATTCACAGCAGGACAGTGACAGACGCAACAGCCCAGCTATATAAAGGATGTGATAATCCCAGGAGGTGAACTTGCGAAGGAGACTCTGTGGCTGCCAGAAATTATGCTGAACTAGCAGAGAGAAAAAGAGGTTTTTGTTTTTACGCTGCTTCTGGTGGTATCTTAAGGATTTATCCAAACAAATTACTTTGTAGGGGTTTTTTTGGTGCTTCAGCAACTAAACCCCCTTGACAGGAACCCCAGATAAGAGTTTGAACCTCTTCCCTGAACTGTACTTTGTAAAAAAAATGATCCTATAGCAGTAATTCAAGTTTTCATTTGTTTTTCTCCAAGATCTGTTTCCTTTTCTGACACTTTCCTTTTCTCCTGCCTCATCTGTGCTTCATTTGGTTGCAGTGTGATTTCCTTTTTTATTGTTTCCTTCTCTCCTTCATCATCTTTTTCACTAATAGATGCATTAAGTTCTTATAAGTCAACTGAACTGTAAAATCCATAAGGTTAAAAACTTCGTTTTTCTGTTCGGTCATGTGTACCTAACAGTGTTAGGCACATGGTAGGTTGTTTAATTGGTAACTTTTGGATGGATGGATGGATGGATGGATGGATGGATGGATGGATGGATGGATGGATGGACAAATGAGTGGCCTTTTAGTCAAATTAATCTGTCACAGTAGTAGGTTAGTCTTTTGGGATCTTAAAAGTATGTTACCTTCCTAACTTCTACTCAAGATTTTTTTTAAGTTATACTTATTTTAGCTTTCTGGTTATTTGAAATCAAGACAAATGGGTATTTTGCTAAATAATGAAATTGTGAGCAGAGTTGCTCATATACTCTTTTTCATTGGAGTCTGTTCCTTTTCAGGTCTGGTATGATTCTAAGACATTTGCTTCTTGGGAAGGAGCATGTACTGTGAAGATCCCAGTAGCCTTGGACACTGTAAGTTATTTTTCTCAAAAACTTATTTTTACCAATTGTGTTATATTAGCCTGTTCGGACTGTCATAACAAAATACCATAGACTGGTTGCCTTAAAAAATAGAATTTATTGCCCTGGCTGGTGTGGCTCAGTTGGTTGGGTGTCATCCCATGCACTGAAAGTTTGCCAGTTCCATCCCCGGTCAGGGCACACTTCCCCGTTGCAGGCTCAATCCCCAGTAGGGGGTGTGCAGGAGGCAGCTGATGAATGTTTTGCTCTCACATTGATGTTTCTCTCTCTCCCTTTTTCTCTCTTTTAAATAAAACCACACAGTAATTTGTTATCTTATAATCCTGGAGGCTAAAAGTACTAGATTAAGGTGCCAACCAATTCAGTTCCTGGTGAGGACTCTCTTCCTGGCACGTAGACACCACTTCCTTGCTGTGCCCTCACACGGCAGAGGCAGAGAGTGAGGAATGGGATCAAGGCCCCACTCTTAGGACCTCACTTAACCTTAGTTACTTCTGGAAAGGCCCTGTCTGCAAATACAGTCACATTGGAGACTGCGGCTTCAACGTATGAATTTGGGGGGGACACAAATATGCAGTCCAAACATGCACCTACCCAGAAGGAACCAAGGATATTAGAGCTCTGCAGAATTACATGTATATATGGAGACAGAAAGTAGATTAGTAGTTGCTTAGGGCTGGAAAAGGGACAGGATTTGGGGAGCAATGGTGAGTGACTGATGAGCACGGGATTCTTTTTGGGGTGATGAAAATTTTTAAAAATTTATTGTGGTCATGACTCTGAATATACTAAAAACCATTTAAATATATACTTTAAATGGGTAGCTTGTATGGCATGTGAATTATATCAATGAAGCTGTTAAAATGTGAGGAAAAAGTATAAAAATAATATATACTCTGATGAAACATGAAGGACAAACAACTCTTCCCTGTATACTTACATTTGTAAGTCTAAGAAAAATAGTAACACTGAAAACAGAAAGCAAACATGGTGGTCATCATACATGCCATACAGAATGTCCTTCCACAGGACCAAGTCAAAAAACATGTTTTGAATTGTAATTCTGGACCTCTAGGCCCAAAGGAATGCTATCAGTTATGATGTTAGAATCAAAGTGGCCCGTCCAGGTAGAATTTCTGAAGGGAAGTTGGCTCCTGCAGCTGAATCACCACCACTGCCACAAACCCTAAGTAGTGTGAAGATTAATAAATAGGAATTGATGTTATTTTTTAAAATTGTCAGTAGCAATATAAACTCCATTATAAAGAAAATGATTTCATATGTCAGCTTTCAGGTCTAGAAGAGACCTTAACATGCATCTATTCTAATCTCTCATGCTTGCAGGTGAAGACACTGAGGTTCAGAAAAGTAAAATTACTTGTTCAGGGTTGTGTCTAGATTATGGCAGAACTGAGACAAGACTCCATTCCATACTAACCTACTACCTCATTCTTTGACAGGAAAAAAAGAGACTGGCTGATGAGGGTGGGATGATAGATGTGCTTTGCTTCTTGCTGCCAACTGCGAGTCAAGCAGAGGTTCACATCCTCACTAGTCTATTCTCACTCCCTGCTTCATTTATATTCTTGTTCTCTTCTCCCTGCTTGTACTTTACTCAGAGCAAAGCACAGTTGCTATATGGTCCAGGGAGCTTTCTTACAGAGCACCGAACTGGAAGACAGGAAACCTGCTGGGCTTTCCCTGCTGGGAATGGCATTCCAGAAGACCCATGGGTATGGGTCATGCCTACAGCCCTGTTATCAGAGTCACTTAAAGTGCCCTTGGTGGCTTCTATAACAGAAGTTTCACAAATATACCCTCAGAATTGAGTCATTCATCCTGATGATACAGGGAATCAGGGAGCAAGACAGGTGTAACTTGCAGTGAGTAAGAACAAAATTCATCTCTCCCCAAAAAAGAAACTACCATCTTTCATCTACTAACATACCTATACACATCTGGGCCTGCTGGCACAGACAAGGTCACTCTTTAGTAGGGCCCTAGAAATAAATGCATTTGTTATATTGACAGGAAAATTAAAAATACAAAACCGAAAAGGCTACTGATAGGATAAGTAGAACAGATGATAAATTGATGAAGGGTGAGAAGTTTTTAGTGTTTGAATGCTTCCTTTTAATACCAAGGCCCTCATATTTGCCATGAATTTATATTGCTTTTGAGTCTATATTTGTAAAGAGTATACAGTGAAACATTTTTAAATTCTACTTTGAAATTGCCTTATATGAATACTCCTTCGCTGAGTTTTGCTCTGTTACAGATACCGGTGTTTCAACGAGGTGGAAGTGTGGTGCCTATAAAGACAACTATAGGAAAATCCACAGGCTGGATGACCGATTCCCCGTATGGACTCCGGGTGGCTCTAAGCACTAAGGTATTTGGAAAGTGTTACCTTTACACATTTCATGTGTTACTACTCTTACCTCTTCACAGTGGTTGCCTTTTGAGTGTGTGACTTTATGTAAGTGGTGAACCCCATCTGTGGGATAGATGCTTCAGATGTTTATCTAGAAATCAAAGTTTTGTATCATTTCTGAATCATTGTCTAGCTTGTCTGACTTGTCTGGAATTGTTCTTAAAGGAGCTCTGAGAACTAGAAGTAATGGACATTTCCTCTAGGACACTGTGACCTTTGGTGCTTTGCAGCTTGGCATTGATACCACTGGACTGAAAGGTCACTGGGGCCTAGGAAGCCTGCCACACGGATTAGCCCTGAGACTCAGTCTCCTGTAAAAGGAATACCACCCCCACACAGTGACTTCTGTTATCAGATGGCTCAAACAACTAAAATCTCCTTGGGTAAAGCCTGGAAGCATCCAGAATTGATCTGTCCTTTTAAGCCAAATGAGTCCTATAGCAGATTCCTCTCCTATTCATTTGCCCAAATACAGTACCAAACACAAATTCTTACTCATGAAAATATTATAAAATAATTAAGTTTTTTTCTTACATTCTTCTCTTCCATCTGTTTCACCTCTGCATGTTTTATTGGGCCAAACTATGTGCCTTGGGCCCATAAGAAGCCACAGAATAAAATACAAGAGACTCGAGATCTATAGCACATCAAGTGTTGTCCATGACAGTAAGCTGCCATATGGAGTGCTCTGACATTGTTTGACATGCAAAAGGAAACCTCCTACTAAAAAAAAAAAGTAGGTACTAGATACCATTCTCTACATTGAGGGTCTTCTAAAGGTAGTTGATCTCATCCATTATATACTTTTTTTTTAACTTCAGTTTCATTCTATGAACTTTTATGACCTGTTGTCACACTTTAGGATAGTATTTTCAGGGAAGCCACCTATGCCACTGACCATACTTCATAATTTAAATTTCTTCCAACAAGGCATAACTTTTTGTGCCCCTCTTACATGATTTCCTTATTTATATTATTTCACTAAAGGGTATTGATTATATATATTTGTATGACTATTTTTACAGCTTGAATATTAAGCTTTTGTTCAACATAATTTTTCACAATTTTTAAAATCTGTTATTTCCCTTTAGGGGGTGGCTTTCTTTTCCCAGAAAGCTATTTCATAATCACATTCTCTATCTGTGATTCACTCTCCAGGGTTCTGCTGTGGGTGAATTGTATCTGGATGATGGCCATTCATTCCAGTACCTCCACCAGAAGCAATTCCTACACAGGAAGTTTTGTTTTTGTTCAGGTGTTTTGACCAACAGGTAATGACAGCTAAAAATCTGTGTGTTTTCAGAGGTAAATTATGCTACCCTTTTGCTATCCTCAAATACACAGCTGATATTTTATGATACAATTTAAAGAAGTTAATGATGAAGGCCATTTGTGGAGTATTTTCTTTTTTCAGCTTCATTCAGGTATAATTGACAAATAAAATTATAATATATTTAAAGTGTACAGTGTGATATGATATACGTATACATTGTGAAAGGATCCCACCATGGAGTTAATGAATACATCCATCACCTCACATATTTACCTTTTTTCGATGAGAACACTTAAGTTCTACACCCTTAGCAAATTTTAATTATACAACACGGTATTATCAACTATAGTCACCATGTTATACATTAGATCCCCAGACCTTATTTGTCTTATAACTGAAAGTTTTCATGTACCCTTTTATCAGCCTCTCCCTATTTCCCTCACATCCCATCCCCCAGCAACCACCATTCTACTCTCTGTTTCTATGAGTTTGACTTTTTTTTCAACATATCTCATATAAATGATACTATGCAGTATTTGTCTTTCTCTGTCTAGCTTATTTCACTTAGCATAATACCCTCCAGGTTTATCCATGTTGTTACAAATGGCAAGCTATCCATCCTTTTTAAGGCTGAGTAGTATTCCATCATGTATATATATCACATCTTCTTGATCCATTCATTCACTGACAGACAATTAGATTGTTTCCATACCTTGGCTATTGTGAATAATGCTGCAGTGAACATGGAGGTAGAAATCTCTTCAAGATAGTTATTTCATTTCCTTCAGATATATACCCACAAGTGGTAGCTCTATTTTTAATATTTTGAGGAACACCCATACTGTTTTCCATAGTTGTCATACCAGTTTACATTACCAGCAACAATGTACAAGGGTTCCCTTTTCATCACATTTCCACCAGCATTTGTCTTTTTAATAATTAGACATCCTAACAGGTGTGAGGTGATGTCTCATTGTAGTTTTGTTTTGCATTTCCCTGATGATTAGTGATATTGAGCACCTTTTCGTGCACCTGTTGGCTCATATGTCTTCTTTGGAAAAATACCTACTCAAGTTCTTTGCCAATTTTTAATTGGGTTATTGTATTTATTTATTTTTTTTGCAATTGAGTTATATAAGTTCTTACTATATTTTGGATGTTAATTGTATATTTGGACATACCCTTTTTGGATATGTGGTTAACAGATATTTTTCTCCTATTCCTTAGGTTGCCTTTTCATTTTGTTGATGGTTTCCTTTGCTGTGTTTTGTAGTTTGATGTAGTACCACTTGTTTATTTTTGCTTTTGTTGCCTTTGCTTTTGGTGTAAAGTCTAAAACAATCATCACCAAGATCGATGTCAGGGGGCTTACTCCCTATGTTTTCTTCTAGGAGTTTCATGGTTTCAGGTGTACCATTTAAATCTTTACCCATTTTGAGTTGATTTTTGTGTATGGTGTAAGATAGGGGTCTAATTTCTTTTTTTTTCTTTTTCTTTTTTTGGCATGTGGATATCCAGTTTTCCCAAAAACATTTATTGAAGAGATTATCATTTCCCTATTTTATATTTCTGGGGTCTCTATTCTGTTCCATTGATTGATGTGTTTTTATGCCAATACCATACTGGTTTGATTACTATAGCTTTATCATATAGTTTGAAATAAGACATTGTAATGCCTTCAGCTTTGTTCTTCTTTCTCAAGATTTCTTTGGCTATTTGGGGTCTTCTGTAGTTCCATGTGAATTTTAGGATTTTTTTTTTTTTTTTTCAATTTTTATGGGGGTGACATTGAACTTGTATATTGCTTTGGATAGTACAGACATTTTAACAATATATATTTTTTAATATATCTTTATGGATTCCAGAGAGAGGAAGGGAAAAGAGAGATAGAAACATCAGTGATGAGAGAGTTGTCATTGATCGGTGGCCTGCTGCATGCCCCTGACTGGGGATGGAGTCTGCAACCTGGGCATGTGGCCTGACTGGGAATCGAGCCTCGATCTCCTGGATCCTAGTTCGATGCTCAACCACTGAGCCACGCCTGGCTGAGCTAACAATATTCTTTTAACCAGGAACACATAATATCTTTTTATTTGAGTCTTCAGTTTCTTTCATCAATGTCTTATAGTTTTCAGTGTGCAGATTTTTCACTTCCATGAGTAAATTTATTCCTGATTATTCTTTTTGATGCTATTATAAATGCAATTGTCTTCTTAATTTCTTTTTTTAATAGTTTATTGTTAATGTGGAGAAACACAACTATTTTTGTATATTGATTTTGTATCCTTCAACTTTACTGAATTTGTTTATTCTAATAGTTTTTTGGTGGAGTCTTTAGGGTTTTCTATATATAATATCATATCATCTGCAAATAGGTAATTTTACTTTTTTCTTTCTGATTTGGATACCTTTTCTTTCTTTTCTTTCTTTTTTTGCCCCTAATTGCTCTGGCTAGAATGTCCAGTACTATGTTGAATAAAAGTGGCAATATTGGATATCCTTGTCATCTTTGAGTATGTTAGTTGTGGGCTTGCCATAAATGGCCTTTATTAAGTTGATATGTTCCTTCTATATCTAATTTTTTGAGAGTTTTTATCATGCAAAAATGTTGAATTTTGTCGAAAGCTTTTTCTACATCATATGTTTTTTAAATTAAATGTATTAGGGTAACAGTAGTTAATAATATTATATAAATTTCAATTGTACAAGATCATATGATTTTTATCCTTCCTTTTGTTAATGCAGTGTATCACATTTATTGATTTGTTATGTTGAACCCTCTCTGCATCCCAGGGATAAAACCCACTTGATTGTGATGTATAATCCTTTGAATGAACTGTTGAATTCAGTTTGCTAATATTTTTTGAGGATTTTTACATCTGTATTCATCAAGGATATTTCCCTATAATTTTCTTTTCTTGTAGTCCCCTTGCTGGCATTGGTATCAGGGTAACGCTAGCCTTGTAAAATGAATTTAGAAGTGTGTCCTCTCTCTCTCTCTCTCTCTCTCTCTCTCTCT